AACTATTTATTACTCAATTTGTTAATTGAAAAGTAATATTAAAAAACACAGATAAACATCAATTTTTGTGTGTCACATGATATGTTGAATGTAGCACTGGTTCAAATAAGATGTTTGTGATGTCATATTACTAAGTTATAGTTTCGTACGATTTAGAAACTCAAATTACCAATACTGACAAGCTAGAATATAAATTAAGAAGGTCTTATCTTTTCTATTTGCTAAGATATTGCTCACGCAATAAATCAAGCATAGTGACACCCCACTCACCACCTTCCATTTTTTGGAAACACTCCCTTATAAACACTTACTTCTATATATGACATGAATAACCAATTGGAAGCTCAGAATATCCCCCTAGTGGTTTTATAAGCCTTTCTTACGTACCTAGTATCATTTCTATCTCTTAAATCAAGATTTAAATGAGGTAAGTTGTGTCTTTAGTCTGCTCGAAATTTTATATTTTTTTAGACCCAAATACAGCTTAGTTACTACGTTTGATAAATTATAGTAGAATTCTATGGTACTGATGTAGTAATTTATGATTTTTTAGTTATTCAAAAGTATAAATAAAACCTAAAAAATTATTTTGATTCATGTCTTCCATGTGCAAATTTTTTAAAGGCTTAGCAACATACATCAAGCAGCAACTGAGTACAAAGGTCATAACTAGAAGAGATAATTGTTTGCTTTACTTCTTTATTTATTGTTTTATGTTTTAGGAAAAATAAATTTAAGAACTTATTTCAAAATAGCAATAATCTATATACATATATAATGTATAATAATTGAAATGTGACTGTATTTTACAAAATGCTAGTCTACTAAAACACAGCCAAGACAAGTTACTTTGCACAGACCATCTGTCAGTTTTATGGTATTTGATACAGTAACATAAGTGCACGTGAGCCAGGCATGGCTGAAAGGTCAATATAATAAAAATAATAAATGTATAATGTTATGAGATTTAACCTATTTCGTTTAAACATTTATGTTTATTTCCTAATTTTTTATGGTGGTTATGAGATTGATCAAATTTATCGAACCTGTACAGAGATTAATTACTGAAAATAACAGATAAAATATAAAGTTTTTTCTTAAGAAACATTTGATAAATATTTTGACATTATAAAGATTTCCCATGTGAAATTTCGAAATTTTCTGATGCACAAAAGTATTTTTAATGTTAAGATGAAAATTACTTTGCATGATAGATAGGCAAGATGTGAAAAGAAAAAAAAAGGCATGAGAGAAACAATGCTTTACAAACCTTACAACTTAATAAAAAAATTATATATTTTGTGTATGAAAGCATTGTAATGTTTACTGATAAACTGCTAAATTTCGTTAACATTCGCTTACTAATTAAA